GGAATCTCCCCTGTCTGCCATGATTTTTCAAAGATCATAGCTAAAGGCTCAGATACCTCCTCTACCAGCTCCTTGAGTATCCTGGGATGCATTTCATCAGGACCTGGTGACTTGCTGACATCTAACTTTCCTAAGTGATTTTTAACTTGTTCTTTGTGTATCCTATCTTCTAAACTTACCCTCTCTCTGCTTGTATTCACTGTGTTAGGCACACCTCCAGACTTCTCGGTGAAGACCGAAACAAAGAAGTCATTGAGCATCTCCGCCATTTCCAAGTTTCCTGTTACTGCTGCTCCCTCCTCACTAAGCAGTGGGCCTACCCTGTCCTTGGTCTTCCTCTTGCTTTTAATGTATTTATAAAAGGTCTTCTTGTTTCCCTTTATGCCTGTAGCTAGTTTGATCTCATTTTGTGCCTTTGCCTTTCTAATCTTGCCCCTGCATTCCCGTGTTGCTTGCCTATATTCATCCTTTGTTAGTTGTCCTAGTTTCCATTTTTTATACGACTCCTTTTTTATTTTGAGATCGTGCAAGATCTCCTTGTTAAGCCAAGTTGGTCTTTTGCCATATTTTCTATCTTTCCTACACAGCGGAATTGTTTGCTTTTGGGCCCTTAACAACGTCCCTTTGAAATACTTCCAACTCTCCTCAGTTGTTTTTCCCTTCAGTCTTGCTTCCCATGGGACCTTACCTACAAGTTCTCTGAGCTTATCAAAATCTGCCTTCCTGAAATCCATTACCTCAATTGTGCTGGTCTCCCTTCTACCTTTCCTTAAGATCATGAACTCTATTATTTCGTGATCACTGTCCCCTATACTGTCTTCCACTTTCAAGTTCTCAACTAGTTCCTCCCTATTTGTTAAAACCAAATCCAGAACAGCTTCTCCTCTGGTAGCTTTTTCAACCTTCTGAAACAGAAAGTTGTCTCCAATGCAGTCCAGAAACTTATTGGATAGCCTGTGCCTCGCTGTGTTAGTTTCCCAACATATGTCTGGATAGTTGAAGGCCCCCATCACCACCAAATCTTGGGCTTTGGATAGTTTTGTTAATTGTTTAAAAAAGGCCTCATCCACCTCTTCCACCTGGCTAGGTGGCCTGTAGTAGACTCCTAGCATGATATCCCCCTCGTTTTTTACCCCTTTTAGCTTAACCCAGAGACTCTCTACACAGCTATCTCCTACATTCATCTCCACTTCAGTCCAAGTGTGTACATTTTTTATATACAAGGCAACCCCTCCTCCCTTTTTTCCCTGTCTGTCCTTCCTGAGCAAGCCGTACCCTTCAATACCAACATTCCAATCATGCGTCCCATCCCACCAGGTTTCTGTAATACCAATGATATCATAGTTGTATTTATTGGTTATCAATTCCAGTTCTTCCTGCTTATTACCCATACTTCTCGCATTTGTATATAGGCATTTAAGATACTGATTTGATCTTGCCTCCCTGTTGTGCCCTGACCCTCCTTTCTCCTTGCCATTATAGGCCGTAGTCCCCCCCATTTCCAACCCATCTCCCAGTCCCGCACATGCAGCACTTACCTGTGGGCTTTGCTCACCTGCCCCCGACAAACCTAGTTTAAAGCCCTCCTCACAAGGTTAGCCAGTCTGTGTCCAAACAAGGCCTTCCCGCTCCTGGAAAGGTGAACTCCATCTCCGCCAAGCAGTCCTTCCTGCCACTGAAACTGCCACTGAAACTCATGGAGATGACAGTTAATACCAGCTGAAGATTTTAGAAGGTACCCTCACAAGCTCATGACATTCATACACTACCAACTGGGAGGAAACTGACCCCATGACCTATTTGTTTATAGACTTCTTTATTATCTGAAAATCTTTGCAAAGTCATTCCCAACTCCTAAGCCATCCAGTCAATACGACATTACAAAGCTTGACACAGGCCACAGAAAGGGAAGGTTCCATGTCTCGTAAATTGACAAGTATCATTGACCTTAGAGGGACACAAAACACAATCAGAATTATTTTCCTTTTGTTGCTATAGTGTATGTATGCCTTAGTGCATACAACATTGGCACTAAGTGGATACATATTGTATACAGGCAGTCCCCGAGTTACGCGGATCCGACTTATGTCGGATCCGCAGTTACGAATGGGGATTTTCTCGCCCCGGAGGACTGGAGCGGCGGGACGCCTGGTCCCGCTGCCCGCCTCCTCCGGGGCAAGAAAAGCTGCTCCCTGTCTCCCTGGTCTGCTGGGGGAGCCAGCAGACCAGGGAGACGGGGAACAAAGTGGCGGAGGACCGGGCCGGACCTGCGGCCGCTTCCAGATCAGCTGGAAGTGCCGCGGTTTGGGCCGGATCCTCTCTGGGGTTGGGGCTAGTAGTGGGGGGGGACGCAGCTTGGTCCCCCCCCACCAGCAGACCAGGGAGACGTGGAGCAAAGCCCGGGGCCTGTGGTAGAGCAGGTGGGGCGCTGCCGGTTGGTCCCGCAGCACCGCTCCTTGGCGCTACTGGACCAACCCGGCAGCACCCCAGCTGCTCTGCCCCAGGAGTCCTGATTCAGCCGCTGCCGACTTACATACAGCCGACTTACATACAGATTCAACTTAAGAACAAACCTACAGTCCCTATCTTGTACGTAACCCGGGGACTGCCTGTATCTATGTACTGATAAATAGCAGAAAAGCCTTAGCAAAACCTTAGCTGCACTGAAGTGATAAACTTACTTAAGAACGCTTTAGGAATGACCAGTTAGCTGTCTTTAGAAGCAATAATTCACTGCATTAATTTCACAACAGCTGCATGTGATGTGCTTGTTAAAATAAACAAAATAAATAAAATCACAACTGTCTCCTGCCAGTGAGAGAGCAACATCCGCATCCCATCTGAAACATATGCAAATTTGACATAGTGAAACAAGGTTTAAATCAGTGGTCCCCAACCTTTTTGGGTGGTGGGCGTCGCGCGGGGCTGCACATGTGCCACGCGCCTGGAGGCTGGGGCCGCGCATGCACCATGCTCCTGGGGGTGGTGATAGGTGGGCGCACATAAATGCCCCGGCGGGTGCCATGGCACCTACGGGCACTGCATTGGGGACCACTGGTTTAAATAGACGCATGGAGTGATTCTCACATTACAATCGGTAATTTCCCCTTCAGGTATTCTCACCTTCTCATCACTGTTGGAGATGAGCTACATCCTCTCTGATTTTAATTAACACTGACGTCACACTCCCATCTCTGTAGCCTTTCACTTTTGTTTTCTTTTCAGCATCTAAGGAAGTCAGGTGTAACTCATGAAAGCTTATGCTCTAACACCTTCATAAATTTGTTAGTCTTTAAAATGCCACTGGACTCCTTGTTGCTTTTGCTGAAATAGATTACCACGGCTGCCCCCTCTGAAACAGATTATTACTATTATTCTTAGAACAGGTTGGTTCCCCGGAGGATCCCAAGGCACACCATTGACTGTATACCCGGGCCAGCTGGGTGGAGGCACTGCCAATTTAAAATTCCTTTAGGAGTCAAGAGACTGAAACAGAAGTGTGTGTGTGGGGGAGAGGGGAAATAGAGGATTTCCATCTATCCAACGTCACCATTGGGATAAGCAGGAGTCATGAACTTTTTCCTTCTTCTATATGACACTGTGTTGCTATTTGATATATTTGCACTGCTATTTTCTTCTCTATGGATCTCTGTAATTCACTGTTTTCTCCAGTTTTGTCAGATGTGATGCAGGACAAAATGATTGCATTGACTTCACTGTTAAGGAACTTTATTTTACCATATAGTAGCCCATTGGGATAAGCAGGAGTCATGAACTTTTTCCTTCTTCTATATGACACTGTGTTGCTATTTGATATATTTGCACTGCTATTTTCTTCTCTATGGATCTCTGTAATTCACTGTTTTCTCCAGTTTTGTCAGATGTGATGCAGGACAAAATGATTGCATTGACTTCACTGTTAAGGAACTTTATTTTACCATATAGTAGCCTTAGATTGCACAAAACAGATACCACTCTTAAAGGAGAACTGCATTTAGTCATTATGAAAATTATCTGAAGGGTGTTGAAATCAACTGGAATAATTGTGTGGACTTCAGGGGGCTTTATATCATGTCAGAATGGATGTCACAAAAGTCGTGGGTGAGATAGGATATTTTTCTAACTACATTTCTGAAAATTAGTTAATTATCTCCAGCATTATTCCATGACATAAATTATTCAGCTGTGCAAAGATGGAATGAAAATTTACAAGTTGAGGCACAAAAGCCTACTTGACCTGTTTGTTATGATGATAAAAATCTGATATCTTACTTGCACATCAAAAAATTTACTTGCTCTGGGGAACTGTAGTTGTGCCAGTTTTCCATCATCCTTCTACAGAAAAGATGGTGATACTGAAAAATAATCATGTTGCTTTTATTAGTTTTTGGGCTTTTAATTAATGCTTTATAACAGTGATTAGCTCCTATATATATATATATACTGTATTTTTATGTTACTTCATATAAATAAAATCTGTATAGTCATAATTCATGACGATAGTCTCACAGTCAGAAATACCAATCTGATTAACCTTTTTAAGAAGATTAAATGAAATTTCCATGTGAGATTACTATTTCGAAAATGAACGTTCTGAAGTTTGTATATTTCGTACGTATTCAGTCTCTATACATTCTGTTACAATTGGCTCTGCCAGTGGAGCATGAAGCCAATGGATTTCAGTGGAAGCAGAATCAAAGGGAACAATATGGGTTAAGAAGAAAATATATGCTTGTGCTAGAGGTTCTGTATATTTCTAAATGTTCTGTGTAGTTAACTTTTGTTTGATAAACCCTAGATGCCTTCAACTGTCCTGCCGACCAGTAGAGATTATAAGCCAGTGGACAGTTACTTTGTCATGTCAAAGCCATATAATTCTTATTTTGATTGCTATATATATTTAAAAAAAACATGTTATCTTATATTGAACATAGACCACTATGTACCTTTTTTAAGCCTTCACCACATTCTGAAGTTTGGCCTCTTCATTCTTGCTTTAGAGTACCCAGGACCCTAGTTATGACTGAGTCATGCCACAAAAAGAAGATTACAGAGGATAAAATGGAGAGCCTGAATAGTGGTAAGAACTCTAAAAATACATGAAATCCTCATAATTTCCTTCTTTTTTCAAATTGTACTTCCCAAAAATACCAGGACTGAATTGAGGGAGAGGACAGAAAGTACGTTGGTGGTTGTGCTATACAGACACTGTCACACTTTCAGTGCAGTTAGTTAGAGGGAAACTCTGAGCATATGGTAGTATCATGTTTCTAAAATCCAATGTAAATATGTTAACATTAATAAATGAAAAGTGATTAAAAATGCTACTTAGCTTAATCAGAAACCCCAGGATATGCTTTGAGGGAGGATGATGTAAAGTATTGGAATTTTTAAATATTAAAGAGAAGCAGTTTTGCCTACAATCTTTCTGACAAAAATTGTTATTAGGCAGTATTGCATGCCAATGTACTCTGATTTTCACATGTTGGAGGGTTATTTAAAACTGATGATAAAATGTCAGTGTGCAAGAGAAATTAAATTGCACTATACAATTTGGAAAACAGAGGAAGCAAACAATGTCAAAAATGCTCTCTCTCCTAACCTCAATAGAAGTCTCCACACCTCAGGATTAATTTAATAAACAGAACATATTTTTCTTACTTAACTAATGCTCCTTAGTGATTAATAATGAGAGTCCTCCCTACAAAAAGGTAATTTTATTCTCTGCAGCTGCAAGATACATAGATGGTTTCAAAGTAATCTGGAAATCCTTTGTGCTCAGTCTCTGATAAGGTTGACCCTGCAGTATTCAAAAGGATACATCTACAACTTCAGTTTTTTTCTCAAAAAAGGGGCACACTGTGCAAAACTGTTGTTCTGCGAGGGTGATATTAATTATGCAAACCCCTGAGAAGATCATCTGTCTAAATGAACAGTAGAGCGAGGACAAATGGGACCAGGCCCACCAACGAAGGGGCAGTTGCCCCAGGGACCGGTGATTCAAAGGAACCAGGGCTCCTGACTGCTACCATTGCTCTGACAGCAGCAGTGGTGGCTGGAGCCCTGGGTCCTTTAAATCACTGCTGGAGTGCCATGTGGTGTGCTCCAAGTGGCTCTGAGCAGTGCAGATGGCTGGCTGCCCCAGCCCCGCTCCTTCTGCTTGAGACGGCTTCACTTCTGGGTGTGTGGAATTTCCCCTCACCTCACCGTGCCCTGTGTCTGTGGAGGCTGCTGTTCCCCCCTTCTCCACCCCCAAATGTGAATGATTTTCTTCACAGCACGAGGTATGACAATGAAAGTGCCATGTCTGCTCCATCAGATGGCCACCCCCCTTTCCTCCTGGGTCCCCACAAGGGATTGCTGCGAGGGAGAGGGGACAAGGACCTGAACACTCAGTATGGCATATTCCACTCTCTATTCTAGCAGCAGCAAAAATTATGCAATTTGCATTGCAAACTACTTCCCAGGGCAGCAGTCCCTCTCATTCCACACTTTCAAAGACCACAAAACTGATTAGAGTACAGGCATACTGAGCAGAGCTGTGTGAGCCAAGTTGACAGTCATAGGCGAGCAGTATCAGAGGGCATGTCTACACTAGGAAATCAAGCTGACAGTCATAGGCGAGCAGTATCAGAGGGCATGTCTACACTAGGAAATTATTTCAAAATAACTTCTTTTGAAATAACAACTCCTGAAATAACAATTTTGAAAAAAGCATTATTGCTTGAGGAAAGCAGGAATAGTTATTTCAAGATAACCAATCTGCTATTTCGAAATAATGGGCTTGGTAGGATGGACACTCGAGGGCTGTGTCTACACTGCACCCCTTTTCCGGAAAAGCTAGGAATAAGAGATCATCCGGAAAAGGGCTTATTTTCCGGAGAATCACGTCTAGACTGGCGCTTTTCTCCGGCTTATCCCCAAGCCGGAAAAAAGCGGCAGCCATGTAAATGCAAATGCCGCGGGGGATATTTAAATATCCCCCGCTGATTTAGCTATTCCGATGTGTCTAATCTGCATCCCTTTTCCGGAAAAGGGGTGCAGTGAAGACACAGCCCACTTGTTATGTCAAAATAAGGGAAGTTATTTTGAAAAAACTCCCTAGCGTAGACCAAGGCAGAGAGGGTTCGGGGGAAAGGGACTCGCTAATATAGCCTGAAGGTCAAGGAGTCATCCATTTGTGTCCCTGACAATCACAGGCTTGCATCAATACCTTGATCCCCACAGTTGCTGGATGATAAAGCAGATTCCTGGCTCTATTGGAGAGGTGTTTTTCAGGAAGTTTGCATTCTCCTGCTGCATAGTTTGAAGTAGGGAGGGGAATATTCAGTCCTACACGTTCTTTTATACAGTATGGTGGCCTCACTGCAGATAGTGACCATGCAGATCCTCAAAGATATTTAGGTACTTAACATGGGACCTAAATACCATTGAGGATCTGGGTTCAGGTTCTTAAAATACATTTATCATTGCCAATAGTTAACAAGAAGCAGCAAACATTTCATTATATAGTACAGTACTCTGTTCCCATCTATGTATGTACAGTACTATCTAAAGTACTTATATGGCCCCACCCATGATAGTGTCCGATCACCTGATAATCTCTTAGGGTTCATCTACACTGCACCCTTAGCTCAAAATAAGACACACAATTTGCGCTATGCAAATTGATATCTTATTTCGATTATTTTTTGAAATAGGCTATTTCGAAATTTGGTGCATCTACATAGCACCACATTTTGAAATAAAACACTATTTCAAGACATCCCCTATCCCTCACGCAACAAGGTTTACAGGGAGGCTGAAATAGTGCATCCTCTATATTTCACAATAGTGGATGCGTTCGAAAGATGCGGGTTAGCTCTTCGGGTACCAGAGGTATCCCAAAATAGCACTGCAGTATAGATGTACCCTTAGTGCATTTATCCTTTCAAAGCCCCTGGGACACAGAGAAGTACTATTGTCCCCATTTTGCAGATGGGGAACAGAGGTACAGAGAGACTTGCCTGAAGTCAAAAGAAAGCTGCAGTGAAGCAACAAACAGAACCAGGTTTACCAATTCCTGTACTAGCACCCTACCTCCTCACACTATTACTCCTTTCCCAGATACAATAAATAAAAAGATACATTTGATTAACTCTAATCTGTTCTTTGTAAGTCATTGGCCATCTTGGGCAATAAAATGGGGGAGGGAGAGAGGAAATCTTTTCAATGACAAATACATTTTAAAAGATGTGTCTTCTGCAAACAACAGTTGGGCAGAGGGTAGGGAGCTTTGCTGTCAGCCCCAGGCCCTTAAGCTTCAATGTGTGATGGGCTGTGCACTGTGATCTAATCACAGGCTTTGTAGTTGGTATGCCCAAGGCAGGAGGCCAAATGCTCTTAACCAACAAGGTGTGCTATTAATAGATTATACATATCCTGTCTGGTCTTACTGCTGTTCTGCAGTAATTATTTCTAAAGTAAAATATGCAACATGAGAAATATTTCTAAGATGACATGACAGATTAAATCAGCTATAATGTTTCAGTCAAGAATAATAGTTTCAGACAGCTGGAAAGCATTAATGATAAACTTACTGACTTTTAAGGTCCTATTGATGTTAAGGGTTATCAACCTTCTTCCCCTATTAGGGTATCACAGCAAAACACCTGGGTGGTCCCTCAGAGACAAAAAGATAGTCCATGTGCTTCAGCTGCAGGGCCATAAACAATTGTGTGGCTGTCTCATCTGTCTTCAAATTATTCATGTTTCTGGGATAGTCCTTTAATTTCACATTGAGGGCTTGGCTTTCTTTGAATTAGTGGTCAAAATACCAACCTTTTCTGAGGATGCATTTTTAGGGCTGCTGGTATCCAGTGTTCAACCAGAACAGCTGGTTTAAAAGGGAACCTGTTGCTAAAGGGAATAGCTGACCAGATGCTAAAAGTTCAGTTGGCCTGAGTAGTCGCCCTCTGCTATTTGGAGGTGGGAGGCCAGAGCCATATGGAGCAGCCACTCTCTTCTCAGCTGCTGAAACCTGAAACTGTGCAAGAGGGGATCCTGTGTGCCCCATCTTTTGCCTCATCATGCCCTGACTGCCCAGGCCCCTTGTTATGGGAACTGGCCCCCTCTCTGTCCCAGCCCCTTGCTGTGGAGACCAGCTCCAGCTATGCCCTAATTACCTTAGCCCCTTGCTACAGGAACCAATCCCTCCCTGTCTGAGTCCCCAGCTATAGGGACCATCCCCTCTCCCCCAGACCCTTGCTCCAAGAACCAAACCACCTCTACCCCACTGTGCTCTGACTGCAAAGGTGGACAAGCTCCTTGCCAGTTTCTCCCAGCCTGGCTCTGCAGGCAGCAGGTGAGACCCAGGAGGAGGAGGATTGAGTGGGAGGCTAAGTTCTCTTTAAGCTGTATGGCCAGAGGAAGAGATTCCTTTTCCTCCAGCCCCAATCCAGGTCAGCCATGGACCTGCCATAACCAGAGCAGAGGTGCCCCGTCTTCAGTCTCCACCCAGCCCAGCCACAAACTTGCCACAGTGGGGGAAAGGGGGAAACACCCTTCCCCCTGCCCAAGCCCAGCCATTGATCTACCATGACCAGAGAAGAAGCACCCCTCCCCTGACCCAGCTAAGCCCAGCTATGGACCTGTCGTAGCCAGTGGAGAAGCACCCCAATCCAGCCCAGCCATGGCAGTTGGAAAAGCACTTCTCCTCCACCCAGCCCAGGTGCTGCTGAAGGGAGAAAGAGCTGGGGGAGTCCTCTCCCCCTGTCACAGTTCCAGGTCAACCTGCACCCAAACCACTCGGTCCCACCTTACCACATGAATTTTGTTATGTGCACCAATATGGAGGTGATGTGTCATTCTGCACATGGGTGAAGAAAATGAGAGGAAACACTGGTGAAGGTGTAGAGAGTGAGCGATGGAAGGGGAGAGGAGCGAGCAGGGCTTTGGGGGAAGAGGCGGGGCAGAGGGCATGGCGAGGGTATTCATAGAAAGTTGGCAACCCTAGATATTTTCCTTAGCTCTATGGCTGTTCCTAGTATAGACCTCTCCTCTTCCCAGGCTCTTCAAAAGGGGGTGGAGAGACCCAATAGC